AGGCGGAGCCCCAGGGGTAGGAGAGGAGGGCGGGGGCGGGGCCGGGCCTCTGCGCGGGGAGGAGGGGAGTGGGCGGCTGGCGGGGAAATAGGAGGCAGAGGGGCTCTCAGCTGCCTCCGGGCGCCACGCGCTCACCCTCCGCCCGGCGGAAACCTGCCTGTTGCTTTGTCTTGCTGCCTGACAGGTTTCCCACCCAGAGAAAAGTGAGAGGCGCTTTCGATGGTGTTTCCTCTGAGACGGGCCAAGTGAAGGAAGCCGCGAGTTGGGCGCCGTCCCACTTGGTACCGGGACGAGCGCGCACGCGTCCCTTTGGGGCCCGGGACAGCCGGGCGGGGGCCTCGTGGGTCCGCGATGTGCTTTGTTTGCCTGTCTGAGGGAGCTCCATGGGCGACCCAGATAGTCGATCGCCCTTAGAGGCGGGTTCGGCCTGAAAGGTCAGGCGCCTGCATCCACCACCCTGCAGCCTTGCCTCGAGATCATCCCACACCGACTGTGCGTACCGGAAGATAGCTCACCTCAAAACTGCATGTTCAATCTAAAGTGCCACAGACCCGAGGTGCCTTTTTTCCTCTTCCCCTTGACCCTCTGCTGCTGAGGCAGGACTGGAAAGGCGCCCTCCCCTGGCAAAGGGAGAGGGAGACCTAAAAACCACCCTCTCTGTAAGGTTTATTACAGCAAAGAGGGCCTCAGCTTCAAGTTCAATGCCTACCAGATCTAAGCACCTGGAGGTAGAACTCCGTGTGGCCAGATGCATGGTGCTTATGGTATGTTTGTGTTACAGTTTTAATGTCACGAAGACGAATCTTATGATGAATAAAGATACCCAAATACAGGGAAGTGACTAACCTGGCCAAGCTTTGAATTGCGGGTGGAGGGTGAAGTTCCTTGGTGGCTCAAGAAGCCGGCGCAGCAGCAGGTCAGGATACAGCGAAGCACAGAAGTCACCTACTTTTGCTTTGACTGCCCCAGTAACATCTATCAGTCGGCCAGTAGCACCCACCAGAGGAACCAGAATGAGGGAGTGGATGCAGTTTTACAAATCCCTTCAAACTTGAAATGACCTCAGCCGGTACTCCCCAGGCCAGAGCAACAGTTTGGACAGATGGGTAGGTTTTTAAACACCCCAGTTATTTGGGTATATGTCTGCTTTATGGATAGACCCTACACCCTTACAGAAATACCCCAAAAAGCCAATCCCTATGTTCCTATTCCTAGTAAATTCCAGCCTCCTTTGAAGGTTGAGGTCTGATGATTTTGTTGGCAAAAAATCAGGAGTAAGGCCATGTAGGAAACAGAGTTGTCATCTGGGACTTGACCACTGGTCTGGTGGCCTTTACTTAGAAAATTAACCAACAACTCATAAGGGGAAGAAGGTCAAGGATTTTATGCTGAATCTAAAACCATAACTATTCCCACACATAACTATTCAAATAGGACACAGAGTGGATGTAGATTTACATGAGTTGACTAGTTGAGAGACCTGGGAATAGACACCTGTAACCTCCTCTGTTTTCTCAATTATAAAATGAGGATAATATCTTGCAGAATTGTTATTAGCATGACAAATTATGTAGAGCTCCTGGCTTATATAGTAAATGTTCAATATAGGGGCATTTCAAAAGTTAAGCAACAGAAATGTGTTTCCTGTTGTCATCACAAAGGAAATTTAATTTTTCTCCCCGAATCCAAAATGTTTTAAAATCTTACTTACAAACGTGATCTATTAATCCTTCATTTTTCCCACCTTCAGTAGTCAAAGGTATAAATGTTAGAGATTCTGAGCAGCATAAATTAACCAGTGTTACCACTTCTGAGTTGATAAAGCCCAAAGCAAATCTAATAAAGGTTGACATTTCATTTTGCCAACATGTATTTTGTGTGTGAATATTTTGTTAGGCTTTTTGAAATATTGAAAATAGAGTAAAAATCCCATGTCTGATACTCTAGTCTCCAGAGATCCCAGACACGCAGCTCAAATGATCACAACTGTGCTCACGGTGAGTGTTAGATACACAGACATCTACCTCGATAAAAGAAGGAAGGTGGCATATAGGCCAACTGGGGAGCAACAGCCTCTAAAAGTGATGGGTTGGTCTATACTGATCCACTGCCACATCCCTCTGCCCAAGAGCCTAGTGTATATGGGATGGAAAGAAAGAAAAACTATAAATCAGGCAAGAGGTCAAAAGAAGAAATGAAAAGGAAGTTGAAATTCTCTCATGCATTATTCATGCAGGCAATTAATCCTTACTATTTCTGAAGGCCAGTTTGAAATACGAGATTGTGGAATATTTATTTTTTTTGGTAGAAAACTGAATATTTATTTAGAATTGAGAAAAATTTCAAAAACAAATTTTAAAGAGTTTATAAATTCCACAAACATGACCACCTCCAGAAAAATCACACATTTTTATTAGCTGCCTTCATAATATTTTTTATAAACTCCTAAAATACTATATAATAATTTTCCCCCATTGTGTCTCCTCTGCATACTCTTGCTCAGCTTTTTAGAATGATTTTTTTAAACAGCTTTATTGAGATATAATTCATATGCCACACCACTCACCCATCTGAAGTGAGCAACTCAATGGTTTTTGTGCAATCACTACCACAGTCAATTTTAGAAAAATTTTATCACCCCATAAAGAAACCCTATGCTCTTGGCAGTCATTCCTCTTTTCCTTCCAACCCTCTCAGCTCCTGGCAACCACTAATCTACTTTCTGTCTCTATAGATTTGCTTATTCTGGACATTTCATATAAGTGGAATCATACAATAAGTGGTCTTTTTGTGACTGGTTTCTTTCATTTAGCATAATGTTTTCAATGTGAATCCATGTACAGCATGTGTCAAAACTTTATTCCTTTTTATTAACAAATAATATTCTACCATATAGATAGGCCACATGTTATATACTGATTCCATTCATCAGTTGTTTGACATTTGGTTTGTTTCCACTTTCTGGCTTTTCTGAATAATACTGCTATAAACATTCATGTACAAGTTTTTGTGTGGTTGTTAGACTTTCATTTCTCTTGGATATATACCTATAGTAGCATTTTGTGGGTTGTAGGTAACTCTAACTTTACTGCCACAGTGGCTGCACCATTTTGTATTCCCATCAGCAATAGGGTTCCAATTTCTCTACATTCTAACCAACACTTGTTATCGTCTGTATTTTTTATTATAGCCACCCTAGTGGGTATGAAGTGGTAGAATGATTCTGTAACATCATTTTCTATGGGTAGAATAGAAGGATAGTCCAGTCTTTTCTCTAGCATGGTTGAACAAAAGTTGCTTTTATATTATTATCAACATTTTAGAAAAGCTCCTGCCTCACTTTTATTACTGAAAATAATATGTACAATTTTAATGTATTGTCAAATTAGGGAAGACGTCTCAAGTTTCTTTCATATGTGAACTGAAGGATTTCGGGACATTTCAAGATTTTTATGCAATGATTAATATTCAATGCTCAAAACTGAAACTCTAACTCATTTTTATTAATATTGTGAGTTTTGTCACTTCTTAGGTGTCAGTTATTACATGTCAAAAGAGCTAAAGGAAAATATTTTTTCATATTGTGCTATGGTTTACTCCTATTTATTATTTAAATTCTAAGACAATCCAAGAGACTTGGAATATGCATTTTTTAAAAAGTTTTTATTTGAAATACAGTAATACCTTGGTTTGCAAGCATAATTCATTCCAGAAATAAACTACTCATATTGCAAGACATCGCTCATTTATCACATTAAAATGTGTTAGAAATGTTTGCTCGTCTTGTGGAACACTCGCAAACCACGTTGATCACAATCCAAGGTTTTACTGTATACAAAAACTCTAACCTTTACAGTATCTTCAATTAGAAGGCTTCTTATACATGCTTCAGTGCATTGATAGGATACTTTATAAATCCTATACCAACTGCATAAAAACAATTGATAGAGTAGAGAACAGTATCTTATTTATTGTTGTATTCCTAGCTTCTAGCATTGTGGCTGGTTTATAGTAAGGCCTCAGTAAATAACTATTGCATTGAAAATTGCCATTATTTAAGGTAGGAATACTCAACTTAAACTGCAAATTTTTAGCTCAAATATACAACAATCTAAAGTCATGTTGTACTTGAATTTCAGTTGTCCAACATGAAACTAAGAGGACACGTCTTCTTAGATGTGAGACAGAATTCATCATGGCATTTGACTCTGCTGAATACTGAATGGATACTGGATGAATAAGAGTATTGGGAGACAAGAAGCAAAGACCAAAAATGTGGTTCGTGTGCTTAGGTGACTGGCAAGAGCAGAGAAGCACGGAAAGATGCAGGAAGGGGATCCTGCCTGCCCCGTGGCAAGTGCTCAGAAAAGGTTAGATCACAGGGTGATCTGGGGCACAGAGTACACGGAGCTCACCTTTTCCTCGTGACCAAAAAAAGTTAGGCTAAGTGTGGTAAGAATAATAATAATATGCACAAAAAAGGTTTCAGCTTACTTTTTATTATCTTTCTTTGAATACCTATTCTTTCATTAGTTCATGTGACAAATATTTATTGAACAA